ATCCTGAAGCTCTTTACAGTCTTTATTTAACTCACTTATGATAACTAATTATATATTTCACTACAGTGTTTGATATGCACTGAAAGTTCACTGCACTGTTTGATATGTGCTGAAAGTTACATTAAACATAATGCATACACATTTTTCTAAAATGAAAAAATCCCATTTGGAAACAGTTGCACTGAAAGGTTTATGTATATAATATGTAATGAACACCTATATACTCAACACTTAGATTTTATAATTGTTCACATTTTCCTTATTTGCTCCCTAATCTTTTTCTCTCTCTGCTGAAGTATTTTAAAGTAAATTATAGACATTATGACACACCATCTTTGAAGACTTCAGTACTCATCCCTAACAAAAATAAGAACATTTTCCTGTAGAACTACAATATCCTTATCACACTCAACAAAATGTAAACTATCAAGAGAAATTTTTCAGTGTATTCCCTTTTATACCTTTTGTGGTTTGAATCTGTGGCTATATAACTTATTCAATAGATAAATACAATGTAAAACTAAAAATAAACTGGATGAGACTTTTAATACTTGTAGTTGCCAGAAAGCTATGGGATCTGCTCAAGATATCATTAAGAGGCAAGAAAGAAGGAATCACAAGAACCATTTGAAAGTGGAGATTGAAAAAAAAGATATCATTGCATTCTAATGCCTAATTAAATTGGGGATGGTGTAAGTAGGACTTTCCACAATTCAGTACTGCCAGAGCACAGTAGGCATGGAAAGTCATAAAATTCAAAAGAGGTATCTATTGCTTTGAAGAAAAATTTCATCATGGAAAGAACTGTAAGTAATCAATTTGTTATAAAGTGACTGGCTGTTCCCACTGTGATATTATGCCTTATCTAGGAATCAAGATTAGTTGCACATTGGACCCACAGCAGTGGTGGTGGCTAAACTAATCTTTGCAAAAGAAAGGCTTTTGTTTTGTTTTTTGAGCCTGTGTACTGCCTCCATCTTGGTTACTATGTTCAAAAGTCCTTAAGGAAACGCCAAGATCAATGAAAAAAGAGTTGCTGACATTCATAGGCTAGATCATCTTGCCCACCTGATCACTGAAACTCTCTTACACAGTGCATTAGTGAATATTCATATGAGACACAAATATTTGTACATTTGGCACCCACACGTGTATGCCAAATACAGAAATCCACGTACACATACTAGCTAGTTCCCTCAATCTCTTTGTTATCACTCCCCCAAATCCTTTTCTTTCTTTTCTCCTGCTTCTTTTTATTCCTTATTCTTCTTAGCTTATAACGCAACCCATAGCAGAGTTAGATTCCAATATTCTTGGTTCTAGATTCAGGTAATTCTCAATCTTGCTAATCTTGTAGTCATTATTTCTTCTTGGCTCTGAGCTGGTGTGACATTTTCATTATTTTCAGTAGAGATTCACATTTTAAGTTAAAAGTAATTCTTTCTATTTCAGGACATTCATCAAAGAATTGCTTTAAAAAGTTCCCCCAATCAGACAGCAGAAGCAAGTCTCTCTCAGAGCTGTTTAACAACAGTGAAGTCCAATGCAACACTCACTTAACTCCAGGGTGGAGCCTGCCTGAGCCCTATAGTTGAACTACTTAGCACACACCTATAAACCAGTTAGAGAACCTAACCAACTGCCAGTGAGATATTTGAAAAGTTTCACACAAATATGAAAACTATATTTACTTGTCACAGATAGGTATCCAAAATGGAAAGGAGTGACATATTTAAATATTCTATTCAAGTCCAAGAGAAGCTGATCATTTACTCTCATTTCATAGTTTGCAAGGCAAATTGTAATGAGGGCTTTGTAAGTGAACATAGTATGTTGCAGAAAGTAATGAATTTAAGCAAATTTTCTTTATGTTTGTGTCCTTAATGATTACATACTTATTTTTTTCAGACAGAAAATTTCACATATTTATTACTGAGCCAGTCCACTAGTGCAAAACACATAAACAAAAAAAAAAATCACATCCCAATTAAACATGTCTGATTTCCCGATTGTGGAGACATTTTCAACTTGGTAATGCTAAGATGATAGCGACCACGATTCAGCATAAACATGTATGCCATCTCAAGTGCAAATCCTTATAGACCCAGTTTGGTTCTTCTCCAATGACTCTTCTTAGAGTTGTACCGGATTTTATTACCAGTTTTCATCCAAATTCACTGGGGAATGGGACGATTTTGTTTCTGATTCTTGGCCAGGAATCACTTGATCCTGAAAGTCTTGTGAGAAGACATGGCAGGTGACAGAATCCACTACACACACCACGATGGCGGAGAAGAGTGTTTACATACTTATTGTATATTTAGAAGAAATTGAAGGATCACACTTGGGTTTATTTAATGCCCTCAGAAGAGTAGGTTAAGGAAAACAACTAAAGAAAACTACAGAGCTACAGTTTGGGAGTAGAAACACATCATGGAACCTCCATTAACACACAAGATACTTTCTTACTGTTGTAATAAAAATAAATAATGTAATCTGTTAAAGCAAGCAAAATATAGGTTAGTCTATGCAATACCACCATTCTAGTAGGCATAATAAAATTGATGAATGACTAACAGTACTTATAATTATCCTGTTTTGTACCAATAAAGTCTATTTAATTAAAGTTTGATTTTGTATTATTACTAAAAATCCAGAAAATTTTTATAGTGAAGAAGGAGGAGGAGGAGGAAGAGAAGGAGGAGGAGGAGAGAAAGAAGAAGAAAAGGATGGAAGCAAGTCCATAAAGGATATATAGGGGCCTGGACAAATAAACCATGCTACATGTGCTTTATGGATTATTATGCAGCCACACCAAATGTGTTAGACCTACTTGACCAATAAAGTTGTCTAAGGTACATGAAGCGAAAATGTTAAAATAACTGGGGGAGATAAATGTAAAATTGCTTAAGGCCATTGTGGTGTGTGTGTGTGTGTGTGTGTGTGTGTGTGTGTATTAGAGAAAGAGAGAGATCAGAGTGATACAAATTCCAAGTTAATGGTGTCAGTGGCTGCTTCAGGGAGCTGTACTAAAGAGGAACAGGTGGAATTTTACGTTTTACTTTATTAATTTTGGCATTGTCTGCTTTTAAAAAAAAATAATGTATTAACTTTTTAAGTGTTTTTAAAATTATCATTTTGAATAGTCAACGATCTATGCTTCATCAGTGTTTTCGTTTAAAACCTATGTGCAGCCCACAGTACGAAGTTCTGAGTACAGGGCTCACTGCTTTAAAAAAAAACTGGATGCCAGTAAATTGGGAGTTGAGTCCCAGGTGAGGCAAGCGCAGGAGGTAGGACACCGAGACACCGAATCCTAGACCGGCCCGGAAGTCCGCCGGTTGCCCCTCGAGGAGGGGCGGGCAGCTTCCAGGCCCGGCCATTGTTCCCGCCACCGGATCCTGGCCACGCCGGCGCGCTGTCCCTCTCTTCCTTCCCTTCAGTTCCTGGCCTCGTGAGTTAGTCCCCGGAGCGGTGCGGGGGGAGGGGGGGGCGGGGCGGGAAGGGGATGCTGAGAAAGGGTGTGGAAAGTGAACCACACCTCGGGAAGTCGGAACAGGGGAAGGGAGCGGTGTACTGTGCCCGACGCCTCTGAGCGTCTCCGGTAGGATTCGTCTTGCCCAGCTGTGAGGACGTCGCACTGGAGAGGCCAGTGGGAGGAGTGACAGGTCACCACGGTGAATAACAACAACAGGATTAGGACTCAGGGAAGGAAATACCCAGGAGAGGAAGTTAAGCACAGATAAGACTTTTTGCAGTCTTCGTGATGGAGAGCCCTTATATCCTCTCACCTGATTCTAAAAGCAGATTCAGGGACATTGAATGAACTGCTTTTTACGAGTAGAATGTGATGGTTCCAATTCCCTTTCCCTTATTTTATTGATTCTTAAGCCGTACAATGCATATAAGTCGCCAAGGAGCCTGCTAAAGTTGAATATTATGGAGCTGCCTGTTCTTCCCTTCCCACCCCTCACCCCCAATTCAGATTCTCTGGATGTTTGCCACAGGGTTTGTCAAACTGAAATTCAGGTGCTGGGCTGTGCTTCCTGACATCAGTTTCAGGCAGTACCTGGATGTGTGCAGAAAAATTCTCCCTTGGGCGCTTTTTTGAATTCTTAGGATTGTCCTCATAAAGTAGCCGACCTTTTCTCTATTTCCTATCTGGTGAATAATAACATTTCAGAGGGTAATTATGAGGATTAAAATTAGTCTGGTATCTGAAAGCACATTGTAGACCATTGTGCAGTGTTGACTGTTTCCTTTAGGAAGCAGCATGGCAATGTGGAAAGTTCATAGGACTTGGAATCTACCAAAGCTTTGCTTTCTGTAAATTTAGGAAAAATAATACCAACCACAAATGGTTGTTTTAAAGATTAATTTAAGAAAACTCAAGAAAAACCTGCAGTAAATGTTGATTCATTCATTTAGTCAACAGTAACAATATTTGCATTTAAAGTTTGGCAGCTGTGGCGGCACCACCTGTGGTCCCAGCTACTTGGAAGGCTGAGGCTGGAAGATGCTTGAGCCCAGGAGTCCGAAGCGGCAGTGAGGTACAATCTGGCTTACAGCACTCCAGGATGGGTGGCAGAGCAAGAGCGTATCTATAAACAAAAATAAAACAACAACAACAATAAAATTTTTTTTTTTGATTCTGTTTCTTCTTTCTCTAATTTGACTTTTGAAGGAGGCGAGGGCAAATAAAATTGCTCTAACCTGTTTAGGAGAGCGACCTCCCAATCCCGCTGTTTCTTGTTTTCTTTCTCATTCCCCCCCCCCCCCACCTCAGGCCCTGCTTACTGGAGGCTGGAACTCCAGAGACTTTTATATAGTGGGTCCAAACTTTTTATCCAGACTTTCTGAGTGATCTGTGTGATCCCTAATTCATGAGCTGCCTCCTCCATGAACTCTATAAGGTATTGCTATTTAAAAAAGCTGGAATCGAAAGAAGAGAAAAAATTGGCATATGGTCACACAGTAAGTGTTAAAACCAAGATAAAATCTAGGTCTGGGTAACTTGAAAGCTCATGCTCTTTGCACATGATGAACATTTAAAAAAAAAATGTTTTCCATCTTTTGGTTACCAAATCACTTTATTTTCAGTGAAGAGCTTTAGGGTTTATGACAGTTACTTACATTATTAGTTTCTGTTATCAGCTATTGCTATTTTTCTATATAAGTTATTCTTTTTACTGCTTAAGTAGGAGCCTCCAAAGGTATATCTTGAAGTATAGCTCCAGCTGGAAGGTACCTTTTAAGTCATTCAAGGTCAAGATGAGTACAGACTCAAAGGATGTTTTATCCCTGGATGTTCAAGTTCCTGAAGACTGGGAAGAGTTTCTGACAATGAAAGTAGAGGCAGAAAGTCATCTTCAAAGGCAAGAATCCAGACTGAAATGCAATAGTCCACTGACAAGGGAAATCTTCCGAAGACACTTTCGACAGCTCTGCTACCAGGAGACCCCTGGACCAAGGGAAGCTCTTACCCGACTCCGGGAACTTTGCTACCAGTGGTTGAGGCCACATGTGAGCACAAAGGAACAGATTTTGGATCTACTGGTGCTGGAGCAGTTCCTGTCCATCCTGCCAAAGGAGCTGCAGGACTGGGTGAGGGAACATTGTCCGGAGAGTGGGGAAGAGGCTGTGATTTTACTGGAGGATCTGGAGAGAGAGCTCGATGAACCACAACATGAGGTAGGAAAGGAGATTTACTAAGAAAAAGCGTATATGTGGGACACCAAGGACCTGTGTATCCCCTGCTTTGTATCCCTTTAATGCTAATAATAAAATAGCCTCCTTCCTGCTTCTCCTCCATTCTGGGAAGTGCTTTTTCAGACAGTTAATTTCTTCAGAAGTCAAATCTTGTCTCTTTGTCCCCAGATGGTAGCCCACAGACACAGACAAGAAGTCCTCTCTAAAGAGATAGTACCTCTAGGAAAGCAGACATCACTGAGCCTTCAGTCCCAGCCTAAGGAGCCTCAGCTAACATGTGACCCTGCTCACAAGTCCCAACCTATTGAAGAGACAGGTGAGGGACATGATTTATCTGATGTTGAACATATCTCACTTGCTCAAGCAAAAACCCAGAGCTGGGGACACAGGGGATTCAAAGACTCCTTGCCAGCAGTGTTCAATACTTCTCAGTGCCTAGTGTGCTCATCTTTGCACCCCCCACTCCTACCCTCCATGTAGTCTTTGCCCTTAGTACCTTCCTAGAAGCTCTCTGGGCTTCTGGTACATGGTACTTTAGGACGGCATTAAGGAATCACTGTGGAGCCCAGCTTTAGAGAATGGGCTTTAAAGTTCAACAGACACAAGTTCAGATGATGTCCTCACCTCATGGAAGCTGCTAGTAATGGGTGAATTACTTAACCATTTGACCTCAGTTCCCTCATCTATAAAATGGGGTTGATAGTAGTACTGTCTTAGTCTACTTGGGCTGCTGTAACAGAATACTACATACTGGGTGACTTTAACAACAGAAGTTTATTTTCTCACATTTTTGAAAACTGGAAATCCAAGATCACGCTGCCATTGGTTTTTGGTGAGGCTTCTCATCCTAACTTGTAGATAACTGTCTTGTTGCTGTATTCTCACATGGGATAGAGAGAGAGAAAGAGAGAGAGAGAGACTTTTCTTCTTCCTTATGCCCTATCTCTAAATATAATCCCACTGAGGGTTAAGACCTATCCCAAATATAGTTGCATTGAAGGTTAAGACCTCAGCATATAAGTTGTCAGGGGGCACAATTTAGTCCATAGCAAGTGTATACCTCAGAATGTCATTGTGAGCAGCAAATACCAAAAAAAAAGAAAGAAAGAAAGAAAGAAAAGTGCTTGGCATGCACAATGCTTAATGCATGAGTAACTGTTCTTATTAAAATCACCAGTGCTACCCTTGCTGATTTGGATTCATACTTACAGTATAAGTATATGAGATATGCTTAGTAGATGGCACACTGTGTGGGAGAATCCAGTAAAATAGACCTTACCATTTCCTTGTATTTAAGTGTAGTGGTAGCAGTGGCCACCTTTGTGGATATAGGACTGGACACTTGGAACCAAGTCAGCTGCTTTCCCATTCTAACTCTCCCTGCAGGAATTGGCTCCAGCTTCTGTCTAATTTCTCACACATAACATCATAGCCTCTTACTGACTTTTTGTTAAGCTTCTGACAACCAGTGTACAGCAGAGTTCTGCTGTCTTCAGTTTCACAATATCCCCATATGTGTCAAAGCCACAACTTCCCTTGTCTCTAGCATCTATTTATTTCCTGTACCCTAGCAGTCATATAGTTATCATGAATTTCTATTGATTTAAATTAAAGTATGTGTGTTGAGTAAATTCTGTGCATACTGAAGACTCTGGCTCCTATGATGTCATCAGATTCAAATTTCTTTTAGTTCCATGTTCCTCCTTTTTTTTTTCTTCTAACCGCTGTACCACCAGAGATCATGTTCCTCTTTTATGAGCATCTTTCCAGTCAGATCCTTTGTTTCTCCTTCTATTCCCTATGAACGTGGAATTTTCATTTTCTAGTCATCTTCTCCTTTCTTCTACCTTCCAAACTATACCTAGAACCCTTCTGAGAAACTCCTTTTCCAAGAAGCACATTTAAGTTTGTCTACCTACCGATCCATTCATCCCTCCATCTATCTGTTCATTCACTTACTTATTTAACAAATATTTATTAAGCATCTACTGTGGCCACGGAAGAGTATATACAGGGCATCTACAAATTGGAGAGTTCTTCTTACAGGACATTAATGCAGGTGTATGTTACAAATTCAGGAAAGCCAATATTGTAAAGCAACAGAGTAAGTATTTGAGATAACAACTACCAGATTCAAGTTTTAGCTCTTCAATTTTTAGCCAAGCAATACTTAAAGTTATTTTATATCACTGAGTTGAGTTTCTTTTTAAGTTCATGCTAATTGTAAAAAATCCTAATAATACCGAAGTTTATATAGTACAAAAGAAAAGTTCCACAATTCTTTAAAAATTCTGGGTAACATAGTGAGGTCTTGTCGCTAAAAAAATTTTAAAAACTTAGCCAGTGTGGGGGTGCATGCCTGTAGCCTCAGCCACTCAGGAAGAGTTTTGCCTGAGTCCAGGAGGTCGAGGCTGCAGTGAGCTGTGATTGTACCACTGCACTCCAGCCTGGGCAACAGAGTGAGACTCTGACTTAAAAAAAAAAGTGGGAAATTTCTTAGTTTAGTTTTTTAGTCTATACATTTATATATCTATATCCTTATACAATTCATATTTAATATGAATTTTGGGCAGAAGGGCAATACTGATCCCACTTGTGGCTCATCTCTTCTTTACAGACATATTTCTGTTTTCCAAACCTGTTGTGATCCCCCAGCTGAAGGGAGGAGGAGAACCATGGCCTAACAACAGAGGAGTCCTAAGAGGTACCTATTCTGGTGCGTAAGGGACTATATACTTAGATGTGGGAGAAAGAAGCAGATGTTTAGGTCAAAAGTGGAGGTCAGAGTCTGTTTTCCTTGGGCTTTTTCTGAGTTGCAAGGTGGAGTCAAGCCTGGGAAATCCAGGACATCATAAGGATACCATAAGCTGCTGTCTAATGTTTAGACAATTTAGGTCTGTTTCTCTGCATTCTTACCTTCAGTTCCTCCAAGCAGAAAGAGTATGATTTGGTTGACTGGACACTGTCCACTATGGACCAATCTTATGAGGCAGCCTCTGCCTCAAGTGCCAGTTTTGGGGCCAGTTAGGTAAGGCCATAGTAGTGGAACTTGTTTGAATTATTTCCCTTTTATTCATTCCTTCAACAAATGTTTTTGAGCAACTATTATGTGCCAGCCATGACAGGGACTAAAACAGAAAGATCTTTCTGTCATGGAGATTAGACTATAGAAAGAGGGAGACACTAATAAACCTGAAAATAAGGAGATGATATAGTATGTTAGAAAGTCATGAGTGCTATGGAATAAAGTAAAAATAGAACAGGATAAGGAATATTAAAGGTTCTCTGGATGAGGAAAACATATTGCAGTATTAAATAGAAGAATTAAGATAGACCTCATTGAGAAGGTGAGTTGAGCAAAGACTAGGAGGGAGTGAGAAAATGAGCTTTCCTAATATTTTAGTTATTTGAGGTGAGAACTTTCCAGGAAGAGAGAAGTGCTGGAGCAAAGGCCTTGTGGTGGAAATGCACCTTGGATAGTTGTGGATTTGAAAGTCATAAACTACATTAGTCTCTCTATATCTGAGGGAATATATCCTAAGACCCCGAGTGTATGCCTGAAACTAAGAAACTAAGAATAATAACTGAACCATATATATATATATAAGGATACCATAAGCTGCTGTCTAATGTTTAGACAATTTAGGTCTGTTTCTCTGCATATATATATATATATACATATACATATATATATATATGTATATGATGCTTTTTCCTATACAAACATACCTATGATACAGTTTATAAATTAGGCATACTAAGAGATTAACAACAACTGAAAATAGAACTATTTTAACAATATGCATCACCACTTTTGTGCTCTGGGTCATTATTATTATTATTATTTTGAATCGGTGTCTTATTCTGTTGCCCAGGCTGGAGTGCAGTGGCATGCTCATGGCCACCACAACCTTGACCTGCTGGGCTCAGGCAATCCTTCTGCCTCAGCTTTCCAAGTAGCTGGAACTACAGGCATGTGCTGCCATTCCCAGCTAATTTTTTTTATTTCTTGTAGAGATGAGGTCTCACCAGGTTGCCCAGGATGGTCTCAAACCCATGGGCTCAGGCAATCCTCTCACCTCAGCCTCCCAAAGTGCTGGGATTATAGGCATGAGACTGCACCTGGCCTCTGGGTCATTATTAAGTAAAATAAGGGATACTTGAACACAAGCACTGCAGCACTACGACAGTGGATCTAATAACCAAGATGGCTACTAAGTAACTAATGGGCAGGCAGAATATATATTGTATATGTGCTGGACAAAGAGAGGATTCATGTCCTGGGTGGGACAGAGTTAGATAGCATGAGATTTCATCACACTACTCAGAATGGTGCACAAGTTTAAAATTTAGGAATTGTTTATTTCTAGAATCTTCCATTTAATATTTTTGGACTGTGGTTGGCCATGGGTAACTGAAACCTTGAAAAGCAAAACCATGCATAAGGGGGGACTCCTATGCTGCCTGAACCACCTAGAATAGCAGTAGCTTAATACTTGTTCTGAAAATGAATGGATAAATACATGAAGTAACTTGGAAAGGGTCACTTTGAGGCTGTCTCAAAAGGGAGAGCGAGTTCTAAGGGAAAACTCAGAGAAGCAACCCTGATCTATACCCTTCCCTCCCCATGAAGAGGTATACAAAATTCTTCCCAAGTCAGGTCTACATTAGCTACATTTTGCCAAAAATGGCAAACTTCTCTTGTTACTCAGGGGAAGGTATTACCACACTGGCCCTTCTGTTTCTAACCTCCTTCCTATCCTCTAATATATTTTTTTGTAGAGAGTAATCACCTTATTTTAGGTTCAGAGAACAAGTGACATTCTTAGTCTTTTTTTGTTTCAGATGAAGTGACCAAGGCTGAGGAAAGAGAGTTGGTGTTAAAGAAAGACTGTTCTAAGATAGTGGAACCACATGGGAAAATGTTTCAGGAACAGACCTGGGAGGTATCACACCAGGATCCTCAACTTGGAGAAGTCGATGAACATAAGAATCAAAGAGAGAGGAAGTGGGGAAACCCCTTAGGAGAGGGGCAACACAAATGTGATGAATGTGGAAAGAGATTTGCTCAGAGCTCAGGTCTCATTAGACATCAAAGAATTCACACAGGAGAAAGACCCTATGAATGTAATGAGTGTGGGAAAGCCTTCAGTCGGAGTTCTGGTCTTTTTAATCACCGAGGAATCCACAATATAGAGAAACAGTACCACTGTAAGGAGTGTGGGAAGGCCTTCAGTCAGAGTGCAGGTCTTATCCAGCATCAGAGAATCCACAAGGGAGAAAAACCCTATCGGTGTAGCCAGTGTGATAAGAGCTACAGTCGGCGTTCATTTCTCATCGAGCATCAGAGAAGCCACACAGGGGAGCGACCTCACCTGTGCACTGAATGTGGGAAAAGTTTTAATCGCCACTGCAACCTCATTCGCCATCAGAAGATTCACACAGTGGCTGAACTGATCTAGTCCTTGTTATGAGCATGTTTTCCAGATCACTGGCCAAGTGATAGGATAAGACTAGAAAATTCTTCTTCCTGTCTTTACTAAATGTGTTTGAAACACTTACTGATCTATGGCCCAGGGACTTCCTAAGAAGAAAGTTTGGGGTTTTTTAAACTGCTGCTTTCTCTTTTGTTCATTTACCCCTTTTCTCTTCCTACTAGCTATGTCCCTCTTATTTATTCTCTTTGAGATGGCTGCTAAACCCTCCTAATAATAATAAATGGCACTGCTAGAGCCAACATGCCTGAAAGGTCTAGTATCTGTGTTAATTCCTAAAAATAACAGATCCCTACTGATGTTTTATAATAAAAGGGCCATTGTTGTTCCCTGTGACCAGTGCCTACATTGTAAACACCTATTCCACCTTACTGCTTACCTCTGACACCTATGTGACCATCTCTTGGAATAATGAACAGCATTGGTTGGTGCTTTACTGTTTGCAGAGTATGTCCGTTTACTAAACCGCAGTTGGTCCTCACAACAACTACACAGGGAAATGAGCATTATCCCATTTTACAGATGAGGGATCTAGGGTTCAGCAAGTCTGAACTTCAGAGCCAAGGCTTAGATTCTGTACTTTTAACATCACATCTTTTTTAACCCGTGGCTTTTGGACTCCAAATCTCAGTCTCTTTACAATGTCATGCTTCATACTGGTAGTATCAGATTTCCTCACTTAAGCTTAGCCACCTGCAACTCCCTTAGAGCTTTTCTATCACATCTTCAGTGTTAGAAAAAGTAACCTGTATCCTGAGTACAAGGCCACATCAGAGAATCATTATCCACAAAAGATGCTACCCTATAAAAGCTATTGTCTAGAATCTCATGTTTGCTTGGCTCTCTGGAGAAGAAATCTCCTCCATGTATAGATCTTTTAAAAAATGCAAGAAGAGTTATGCAGCCTCGGATGTTCTGCCCTCAAAAGAGAGCTTTTCTGTCACATCTACAGTGTTAGAAAAAAGTAACTTCACTTCTTTCCCAGTGAAGTTTATTCATGGGGAGGAGAAATCTCCCCCTCTTAAGACGAAGACAGGACTTGAGGCTTAAAGTTTTGAAAGGCTTTCTTTGCCTTTGCTCCCTTATTCCCTTCTATGATTTCTCTACTAAGGTTACAGCCCCATCTCTTTAATCTATTTGATTTGATGTTAGGAGGTTTCCTGAGAGATGTGAAAATCCTGCAGTTGGCTCAGGATGACTCTATGCATATACAGTTTGAGCTTTGCACTGTTTTCAACACTAAATGTGTTGCACAGAGCAGCCAACTCTTGACTTGAATTGAAGGTTATATAATTTAACTCTTTTATGGGAAATTCAAACAAACAAAAGTGTGATAGCTTAATGAACCCCCATGTACTCTTCACCCAGCTTCAACAGTTGCCAGCGCATGGCCTATTTTGTTTTATTTATATCCCCTCCTTTTCATTCCTGGATAATTTTGAAGTAAATTTATTTATTTATTTATTTTCTCTTTTAATTTTTTTATTTTAAAGATGTGGTGTACAATTCAGGGTTAGGTATACAAATGTTGATTATGCAGGTACCCTTATTGATGAGGTGTGCCTTCCCTCCCCCTGGCAGATTCCCACTGCTGCCAGTCCTTTTCTTATAGTATTACAATAATTATTCAAGGGCTGCTTATGAGTGAGAACATGTGATATTCAGTTGTTTCTGTGAACATTACTCAGTATTACAGACTCTTTAAGTCCATCCAGGTTGCTGTGAAGTTCATGATTTTGTCCTTTATAGCTATGTGATATTCCATCATGTATATATACTACATTTTTTTTAACCACTCTTTTGATGGGCAGCATGTTTGGTTCCATGTTCTTGCTACTATGAACAATGCTGCGATAAACATACGTGTGCAGGTATCTTTTTCATAGAGTGATTTGAGTTATTCCAGGTATATTCCCAGTAAGGGGATTGCAGGGTCATATGAAAGGTCAATCTGTAGATCTTTTAGGAATTGCCACACTGTTTTCCACATAAGCTGTACTAACCTACACTACTACCAACAGTGTAGAAGGTTCCCTTTTCACTGCATCCTCTCCAGCATCTGTTGTTTTTTTAAATTATTGATGATGGCCATCCTGACTAGGAGTTAGGTAGTATCTCAGTGTAGTTTTAATTTGCATTTCTTTGATGACTAGTGAGGCTAGCATCTTTTCATGTATCTGTTGGCTGCTCGTATGTCTTCTTTTGAGAAGTGTCTATTCCTATCTTTTGCCCACTTTGTAATGGGACTATTTGTTTTTTTCTTTTCAGCATGTTTGAGTTCCCTATAGATCCTAGATGTTAAGCCTTTGTCAGACATATATTTGGCAAATATTTTTTCCCAGTCTGTGGGCTATCTCCCTGCTCTCTTGATGGTTTCTTTGGCTTTTCAGAAGTTTGTCAGCCTGATGAGGTCCCACTTATCTGTCTTATCTCTTATGCCATGGGCACTTGGGTTTTGATCAGGAATTGGTTGCCAGTTCCAATTTCCATAGGGGTGTCTCCTGCATTTTCTAAGGTTATTATAGGTTGAGGTTTTACATTTAGGTCTTTGATCCATTTAGAGTTGATTTTTGTATATGGAGATAGGTAAGGGTCTTGTTTTAATCTTCTGCATGTGGTCAGTCAGTTTTCCTAGCACCATTTACTGAATAGGTTCTCCTCTCCCCAGTGGTTGGTGGTGGAGGCTTTGTCGAAGATGAGTTGGTTGAGAAATTGAGGTTTTGCTTCTGGAATCTCTATCCTGTTCCATTGGTCTATATGCCTGTTCTTGTACCAATACCACCAGGCTGTTGTGATTATTATAGCTTTATAATAAAGTTTAAAGTCTGGGAGTGTGATACCTCCTGCTTTTTTTTTTCCCCCCTGAGGATTGTTTTGGCTATTTGTGGTCATTTATGTTTCCATATGAATTCCTGTATTGTCCTTTCCAGGTCTGAGAAGAATGCTGCTGTTGATTTAATGGGTATTGTATTAAATCTGTAGATTGCCTTGGGTAGGATGGACATCTTAACAATGTTGATTCTTCCAATCCATGAGCATGGATTGAAGCAAATTTGAAAGGTAAATGTTGATTCAGATTGAGAGTATTAAGCAGATCTGGTGACTGAGTCCTCTCTTGATCCAAGTTTCGATCTCCTTTTTTCTTGTTTCCCCACTGAATGAGTGGCCTGCGAAGTTGGATTTGAAGTTTCCTATCACAGGGGAAATAAATTATCTAATACTCAACACCACATAAAAACCCCACAAAATACCAACTTGAATTTTTTCCTTTTCATTTTCCTTTTTCTGTGTCAGGGAAAAGTTTTATGCATTGTGCGAAAGCCCAAGGGGAATTTTCACATTATAGTAGTAGGTATAAAGCATAAACTGCAGGATCATCTGATAAAAATATTGAATATAAAAAAACTTCCCATATTAAACAGAAATGACTGAGGACTAGTTACTACTGATTACACTAATTGACTTGAGTGAGTTAAAAATCTAAAGTTTAAATATTAGAGTAGCTTCTTCTTTATGTCACCATACCATAGTATATAGTAAAAAATTAGTGGACCAGGGGTTGGGACCCCTGGGATTGAGTCCGTATCCAATCATTTCTAGAGTGTAGACCTTGGATAAGTCACCTGGGGCAGGTTTCCTATAAGCAGAGTCCAGGCATGGATTCAAGTCTAGGGGATTTAGCGAAGTGAAATAAACTGTAGGGGAAAAAAATGTAAGAGAAGGAGGCAGGATATGGAAGGGAAATAGGCCAGGCAAGATGTCATCTGAGCTAAAGTCTGGCCTTAGCCCAATTTGGAGGAAGGGTCTCTGGAACAAAACTTGTTCTCAAGGAAAGAAGCCAGGCTTTTGCATCCTCAGTCAGGCCCTTACTGAGGACTGCCCTGAGAGACTAGAGCAGCTCCCTTTGCCCAAGGACAATTCTTCAGAGAAGGGGACACCTATGAGCCATTAGCAGCCAATGCTCATGGAAATCAGGGAATGAATGCACTGACTTTTGTGGCAACCAGGGAATGGGTACCCTGATGGTGAATGAGACTTGGGCAGGATACCACTGGCATCCACCTCAAGGCTCCAGTTTCTTCACCTCCTTCCTGTTTTGCAGTATTGTTTTGAGAAATAGCAGAGAGCAATTACAGTCCTGCAGCACTTAATGATGGGGATACATTTAGAGAAATGTGTCATTAGGTGACTTCATCATTGTTTGAACATTGAACATTGAGTGTCTTTACACAATCCTAAATGTTATAGCCTTCTACACACCTAGGCTAGATGGTATAGCCTATTACTCCTAGTCTATAAACCTGTACTACATGTTATTGTACTGAACACTGTAGGCAGTTGTAGCACAATTGTATATTTATGTATCTAAACATAGAAAAGGTACTGTAAAAATATGGTATAAAAGATAAAAAATGGAGTACCTCTATAGGGCATTTACCATGTATGGAGCTTACAGGACTAGACGTTGCTCTGGATGAGTCAGTGAGTGGTGAGGGAATGAGAAGACCTAGGATATGACTGTATGCTACTGTGGACTTTATAAAGACTATGCACTTAGGCTACACTAAATTTACTTTAGTTTTAGTTTTTATTATTTATTTATTTATTTTGAGACAGAGTCTCACTCTTATCACCCAGGCTGGAGTGCAGTGGCATGATTATGGTTCCTGACAGCTGCTACCTCCCAGGCTCAGGTGATCCTTCCACCTCAGCCTCTCAAGTAACTGAGACTACAGGCTCACATCACCATGTCCAGCTAACTTTTGTAATTTTTTTTTTTTGTAAAAATGAGATCTATGTTACCCAAGCTGGTCTCAAATTTCTGTGCTTGAATGATCCTCCTGCCTTGGCCTCCCAAAGTGCTAGGATTACAGGCATGAGGCACCATGTTCTGCCTGATTTGGTTTGGGTTTTTTTGTTTCATTGGTTGTGTGTGTGTGTGTGTGTGTGTGTGTGTGTGTGTGTGTGTGTGTGTGTGTACACACGTGCCAATGTGCACATTTCAAGGTCTATACATTTAATTTCTTAATGTCTTATTTGGTTCTTTTCCAAATATGTCTTCTCTTTTCACTTTATATCCTAGTCTTTCTTTGTGCTTTCTAGACCTCTAAAAAGAAAATCTTTAAATGTTGTAAACATATTTTATAGTTTCTTTCAGATTATTATGTTATCCATAGTTCTTAGAGAGCCAACTTTGTTCATTTCTACTGTCTCTTCTTTCTGAATAGTTGCTTCCTCCTGTAGTTTGTAATT